CAAAATGTTACGGATTTGCAAACTTATAATTTGTAACGAATTCCAATTTCTTGTGGCTAACGTTTGCTAGGTGGCTAACGTTAGCTAGGCTAGGGGTTAAGGTCAGGAGTTAGGTTAAAGCGTTAGGTTAAAGGGTTAGGCTAAGGGTTAGCTAATATGCTAAGTTGTTGCAAAGTAGCTAAAAAGTAGTAGCAACGTTTCTATTTAGATAAAATGCTAAAGTTGTCTGTGATGAAAATCGAACATGCAATCTTGGGTTGCTGCTAGATGATCGCATTATATGTCTACTCATCCACACTGACCAACCACCCTACTTTTGTTGTATGTGAGTATGTGTGTGTGTGTGTGTGTGTGTGTGTGAGAGAGAGAGAGGGGGGGGGGGGGGGGGGGGGGTTTGATCATTTCTTTGCCCACTGACAAAGAAATGATCAATCTATAATTTTAATAGTAGGTTTATTTGAACAGTGAGAGACAGAATAACAACAACAAAAAAATCAAGAAAAACGCATGTCAAAAATGTTATTAAATTGATTTGCATTTTAATGAGGGAAATAAGTATTTGACCCCCTCTCAATTAGAAAGATTTCTGGCTCCCAGGTGTCTTTTATACAGGTAACGAGCTGAGATTAAGAGCACACTCTTAAAGGGAGTGCTCCTAATCTCAGCTTGTTACCTGTATAAAATAAACCTGTCCACAGAAGCAATCAATCAATCAGATTCCAAAGAGCTCTCCAAGGATGTCAGGGACAAGATTGTAGACCTACACAAGGCTGGAATGGGCTACAAGACCATCGCCAAGCAGCTTGGTGAGAAGGTGACAACAGTTGGTGCGATTATTCGCAAATGGAAGAAACACAAAATAACTGTCAATCTCCCTTGGCCTGGGGCTCCATGCAAGATCTCACCTCGTGGAGTTGCAAAGATCATGAGAACGGTGAGGAATCAGCCCAGAACTACACAGGAGGATCTTGTCAATGATCTCAAGGCAGCTAGGACCATAGTCACCAAGAAAACAATTGGTAACACACTACGAAGTGATGGACTGAAATCCTGCAGCGCCCGCAAGGTCCCCCTGCTCAAGAAAGCACATATACATGCCCGTCTGAAGTTTGCCAATGAACATCTGAATGATTCAGAGGAGAACTGGGTGAAAGTGTTGTGGTCAGCTGAGACCAAAATTGAGCTCTTTGGCATCAACTCAACTCGCCGTGTTTGGAGGAGGAGGAATGCTGCCTATGACCCCAAGAACACCATCCCCACCGTCAAACATGGAGTTGGAAACATTATGCTTTGGGGGTGTTTTTCTGCTAAGGGTACAGGACAACATCTCCGCATCAAATGGACGATGGACGGGGCCATGTACCGTCAAATCTTGGGTGAGAACCTCCTTCCCTCAGCCAGGGCATTGAAAATGGGTCGTGGATGGGTATTCCAGCATGACAATGACCCAAAACACACAGCCAAGGCAACAAAGGAGTGGCTCAAGAAGAAGCACATTAAGGTCCTGGAGCGGCCTAGCCAGTCTCCAGACCTTAATCCCATAGAAACTCTGTGGAGGGAGCTGAAGGTTTGAGTTGCCAAACGTCAGCCTCGAAACCTTAATGACTCGGAGAAGATCTGCAAAGAGGAGCGGGACAAAATCCCTCCTGAGATGTGTGCAAACCTGGTGGCCAACTACAAGAAACGTCTGACCTCTGTGATTGCCAACAAGGGTTTTGCCACCAAGTACTAAGTCATGTTTTGCAGAGGGGTCAACTACTTATTTCCCTCATTAAAACGCAAATCAATTTATAACATTTTTTACATGCGTTTTTCTGGATTTTTTTGTTGTTATTCTGTCTCTCACTTTTCAAATAGACCTACCATTAAAATTATAGACTGATCATTTCTTTGTCAGTGGGCAAACGTACAAAATCAGCAGGGGATCAAATACTTTTTTCCCTCACTGTACATGAAGACAGTGATATGAGAAACATGAGTGGGATAATGTCCAGAGGGGTATACTACAAAGTATGTTCAATGAGTTAGGCAACTAATTTTAATAAACAACCAGAAATAACTATTGATTTTCTGGTTCATTAAAAATTAAGAAAGCTAAACGTATGTGTTATTGGTTGATGAGTCAATTAGACCATGAAAACGTATCTTTCTAAACAATAAAAAGTGATTGAAGAATATTTAGGCAAGTTAGTTAGCTAACTCATTGATCCTGCTTTGTAGTATACCCCCTCAGGAAGAGGCAGAAGTGCCAGTCAGCAGAACCAGGCCTGTGGCCTCCATAGGGACATTCAGGGACAGGACAAGCTCCATTTCATGACAAATGACTGTGCAGGCACGCACTCAGCTAAACATTTGGTGTTTTAAGGCTCTGGAATATGACAACTGACTGCATGTTTTAGGCTGAGGTATGAGGACTGGCTACCAGCCATACCACCCTGCCTCTCCCTGCTGGCTTTGATTTGATGCAAAGCGTGAGATTATGCATTTGAGTCTGTGTTTGTTTCTAGTTAAATCAGTAAAAAGTAGAACCAACACAATTCGTCTTTTGGCCTTTTTCAGGTAAAAAACCCTGAAGAAGGCCAAAAGCCTTTCACATTGGTTCTACTCAACAATAAATACGCTTTTATTTATTTTATAAAATTCCATTGTCCTGCAAGAGTTACTGAATCTCCTCTCCACTTTTCTCCTCAATTCATGCACCTTGGTTGGAAAGAGATGATCCCTTCGCTTTGCATAGTTAATCAGTCAAACTAATACAAAAGAATCCTTAGCAACAATTCAGCTTGATTCAGTAAATTTAATGACAAAATATTTTTCCAATGAGGGGAAAAAACATAAAATGAAATCCAAAGGATGTGTATGATTACAATAACTATTGTTACCATAGCAGTCTGAGGGGAATCATTTCTAAACTTTCCTTTTCACTTTGGGCCCTGCAAAGTATATTTCTAACATAATCTTCATTAAATCCCTGATGAGTTCAGTCTTATCATAGCTTTACCTCCTGCTCTGTGCGTTCAGACTCCAATGTCACAACAATACAGACAATATAACTCACTGAAACAAACCAAAAACAAGCCATAGAGTAGCCTCGGTGTCTGATCACAGACAGGCAATAGAACCACAATGGAGTCTTGGGAACAGAGGTGAGGCACGTGGTTACTGAGAAGAGTTGAGGTTCAAGGTGGACCTCAGTTCCTTTTGGCAGTTGTGTAGAGGGAAATAAAGAGGTTGATGTCAGCAATATCAAATGGTGGAGTGTTAGTACAAACAGCCCCATCTTAAGTTAATCTTAAATCTCAACTTTGAAATTATGCAGTCCCTCTTTGAACACTGTGGCATACTGTAGGTCGCAGTAACATTCAGAGCATGTTTGAATGTCCATGTGGTTGTGCCTCTAAAACTAGTCTGCCTCTGGACCATTCCAACTCCATCTATCAGTGTGGTGAAACATCAGGGTTCATCTCCAGCTGGACTAACAAACTACATAAGCTTGTTCTTACATGTCTGCTATACAAGTGTGTAAGGTGGTAAGATGACCTGTCGCAGGCATATCAGAGGTCTACCCAGGGAACCAGGGCTAAATAACTAGGCTCGTGATATGTCGTAAAGAACTCAAGATAGACAAACAAGACAGGCCAAGCAGACTCTCTCCAATGCACAGTGTCTGGTGGTTGTGGGTTTGAGATGGCCACAATGGTAACATCCTTCATAATCAAAACTCAGCCTTAATTATGGTGGTAGAAATAAATAAACATCTATAGTAAATTGTATTTATAGTTCTAAACAAAATGATTACCTTCAAAGGCATGCTCACATTTTCAGGTTAGCTTCTTTCTTTCTAAATTTAGTTAGACCCTTTCAGGGTCAAGTGATGGGCTTGAGAGATTCATCCAACCACTGTTGTATGTGGCACAATCTTGGGCTACTTCTATCTTGTAAATCTGTGGGCTAGACAGCTCTCTTGTACCAGGCATTACAGAGTGCTGGAGCTAGCGTGTAGAAGAGTTTGGTTTGGTTTTATGCTTTGCCCCCTCCCAAAAAAAACACCCATTATAAACAATTACACCCAAACAGGGGGAAAAGGGAACATGACCTCACTTTTTCCTTGTAAAGCTAATACAAATGAGTGAGGAAGAGAGGGGGGGGAGAGGGGCATTCTTCGTACAACAGCGTAATTTCTCCGCAGGCACTCGTTCAGCTTCCCGCTCAGAAAGAGCTCGTAGGGGGCGTGGTCAACCTCTTCCCAATGTACACCCTAAGAGGGGAGAGGGAGAGAGCAGTTACACCCCGAGTCATTAACTAGTAGGCTGATAAGCAATAGATGGAGTTGGAGTGTCCCTGTCGTGTCATCTGTGCTGTCATAAAGTGTGTGTTAAGGGTGTGGTGCAGCAGGTGTCCATCCATCCCAGCAGCAGCTGCTCTACTATCTAGACCCAGACATAAACAGGGCTCGAGCATTGCAGCTGCCAACTGTCTGCTGCCACCACACGCCATCTGCTGGTTTATACAGAAATATGCATGGAAGTGTGTGTGTGTGTGTGTGTGTGTGCATAATATAGTGGCTAATCATTTTCTGTACATGCAGTTCTGTTCCAGGGATATCTGATTCCCAGTAAACAAAACAGTCCTCTCAATGTTCCTTACTACATTCTATATTGGATCTGATTGGTGTTTTCTTCTAATTGTATGTAAACAACTGTAAACAGAAGGAAATGTAAAGCTGTTCAGGAGATTCCATTTGGGAATTGTCGGTCTACATTAATCTGTGAAGGAAGTGTTTACTTAGCCAGCTAATGGCTAAATATTGGAAAATGTTATTCTCCTGGCAGACCCACTGATGGGTTGAAACAAGCATTCCGTAATGTCTTCACTTCCGTAATGTCTTCACCGTAAAGTGCTTTTTCACTTCCATATAAAAAAAAGTGCCATTATCACATTTATAACACAAATGATTGCCTAGCTGAGGTTAATGGCAAAATAGTGTCCTAGGTTTGTTCTTACCCCAGCCCCAGGACCAGGATGTGTGACAGTAGCAGCGAGGGGATGAACACTTTGAGGAACTCTGCAGAGAAGACACCTCCGTTCTTCATCGCCCCGGTCTTTCTCATGCTGAGTGTATCTGAACGCCGGGGGTGGCGGAAATGAAACTCCCTACAGGCATGGACACATTATGGTTATCATACAGTAACGTCAACATCTTCCTCATCAACATTGTCCTACAGGAGGTTGGTGGCGCCCTAATTGGGGAGGATGGGCACATGGTAATGGCTGGAGCGGAATGGTATCAAATACATCAAACACATGGTTTCCATGTGTTTAATGCCGTTCCACTTGCACCGTTCCAGACATTATTATGAGCAGTCCTCCCCTCAGCAGCCTCCTGTGGATGCATTACAGTATTATTAATCTTCTCCTTATCATTTGGAAATATTCAGCCATAAGTAGTATTACTGTATGCACAAAAACTCTAGGATTTACCTAGAAGACCAGATGCACTAAGACTTGTATGCGGACGACACCATTTTGTATACATCTGGCCCTTCATTGGACACTGGGTTAACAAACCTCCAAACGAGCTTCAACGCCATACAACACTCCTTCCATAGCCTCCAACTGCTCTTAAACACTAGTAAAACTAAATGCATGCTCTTCAACCGAACGCTGCTTGCACCCGCCCACCCGACTAGAATCACTACTCTCGGCGGGTCTGACCTAGAGTATGTGGACAACTACAAATACCTAGGTGTCTGGTTAGACCGTAAACTCTCCTTCCAGACTCACATTAAGCATCTCCAATCAAAAGTTAGATCTAGAACCGGCTTCCTATTTCGCAACAAAGCCTCCTTCACTCATGCTGCCAAACATGCCCTAGTAAAACTGACAATCCTACCGATCCTTGACTTCGGCGATGTCATTTACAAAATAGCCTCCAACACTCTACTCAGCAAATTGGATGTAGTCTATCACAGTGCCATCCGTTTTGGCACAAAAGCCCCATATACTACCCACCATTGTGACCTGTACGCTCTTGTTGGCTGGTCCTCACTACATATTCGTCGCCAAACCCACTGGCTCCAGGTCATCTATAAATCACTGCTAGGCAAATCCCTGTCTTATCTTAGCTCACTGGTCACATTTACATTACATTTTAGTCATTTAGCAGACGCTCTTATCCAGAGCGACTTACAGTTAGTGAGTGCATACATTATCTTAGCTCATTGGTCACCATAGCAACGCCCACCCGTAGTCTGCGCTCCAGCAGGTATATCTCACTGGTCATCCCCAAAGCCAACACCTCCTTTGGCCGCCATTCCTTCCAGTTCTCTGCTGCCAATGACTGGAACGAACTGCAAAAATCTCTGAAGCTGGAGACTCTTATCTCCCTCACTAACTTTAGGCGTCAGTTGTCAGAGCAGCTTACCGATCACTGCACCTGTACACAGCCCATCTGTAATTAGCCCATCCAACTACCTCATCCCCATATTGTTATTTTGCTAATTTGCACCCCAGTATCTCTATTTGCACATCATCTTTTGCACATCTATCATTCCAGTGTTAATACGAAATGTTAACTATTTTGCACTATGGCCTATTTATTGCCATACCTCCATAATTTACTACATTCACACACACACTGTATATATATTTTCTGTTGTATTTTTGACTTTATGTTTTGTTTACCCCATATGTAACTCTGTGTTGTTGTTTTCTAATCGCACTGCTTTGCTTTATCTTGGCCAGGTCGCAGTTGTAAATGAGAACTTGTTCTCAACTGGCTTACCTGGTTAAATAAAGGTTAAATAAAAAATAGAAAAATAAAAATGGGACTGTGTACATCACTCACTTAGGAGGAATGTTCTCGGGCCGACTTGACCAGTCTGCTACCCAGTCTGAGTCCTTCATGAGGATATCCATGTCCCTCTCCTTCTCCAGGGTATCCTCCTCTGACTGCAAGGGACACATGCTGCGCATTAGGACACCAATTTCAGTACAGACAAGAGGGGGAGCCACTGAGACAATATGGCTGACCGCCCATACAATACAGACCATGCAATAAACCCTGTGTGTGAGGCCGCCATGGTTACAGGCACAGAGAGTCAGTTGTCAACATCTCCAACAGCAACAGAAAAATGTGGCTTTGCCATGTCATCCACTGACAGAGGTCGTGTGTGTGTAACTATAAAGGAACCTGAAACTGAGGCTACTGCCGTGTCCATAGATTCAAACCCACTGGGTTAGTGTTTCCTGCCGCCATCACCATTGTAACAAAGGCTATGGTTGTCATTCACAAGAGACTGAGGGAAGCAGCAGGTTATATTGCCATGGAAACATACGTGACGTAGGTAGCTCAGGCACACTGAGTAATAACTCTTACTTGGCAGTCTCTTCTGCTGCTCACGTCCACATCAAAGATGATCTGTCCATCATGATCATCCTCCTGGGGACTATGAGGCCGGGGAGGACTGTGGGGAGGATCAAATAACAAAATAAAAACAGTTACAGCCAATCACTGCACTCCAAGTCTTCTCTCCCTTGGTGCATGAGAATGTACACTTGTATGCAGTAATCAGGTCGAAGATTTGGGGTGTGCTCAAATTCCCAATGCATTAATCAAGAGACCATGCCTTTGTTGGCTAAATATGCATGCGAATCATGCCTCTATTATGATTTCACTTTGCCTTTCAGCCTGCAACCTCAAAGTGGAAGGATGAGTGTGTCTGTGAACTCTACCGTTAGTAGGCTGTTATAGAAACACTCCTGGTAAACATTCTCAGGTGACTCATTGACAGCTGACTGACTCAGTTGACTGTGAATTCAGATAAGCCTGTGTTTATGGCAGGCAACCTCATGGCTCAGAGGGAAGGGAAAGCAGATGTATGAGGGGATTTAAATCCAGTGAGTGACCTCACCCTGTGCACACACAGGTGATGAAGATGTTGTTTACTATTGTAAACGGATTCTATTTACAGCGCCATAACAGCAAACAGTACTATACCAATTCAGAGATTAAATCTACATTCATTTTGGGCTAGTATGTGACCTCAGTGAATTGAAGAGTTACAGGTGATAACTTTTTTTTTTATGTTCAAAAAATATATATCTGTACCTAGTTTTTCAAGGCCAAGCTGAACTGTATTCATTGTAATACCCCTACCTGTCACAGGAAGAGTTGCTGCGGCTTGACTCATGCTGTGCGTCCAGTAGAATCCTTTCCATGTCTCCGTTATGGATGGAGGATGAGGAGGGCACATGCTCTAGGCCCCCCACCATTGCCTCCACCTCCACCTGAGGCAGGGGGAGCAGACCCGGAGCCTGGCCCACGGTGGATGGAGACTGGGACAACCCCGCCGCAGCTTCGGCCGCAGCTCTGTTCATCTCCAACTCCACCCAGGACCCTGCAGGACACACACATACAGTAGAGTTGAAGTCGGAAGTTCACATACACCTTAGCCAAATACATTTAAAACGCAGTTTTTCACAATTCCTGACATTTAATTCTAGTAAAAATTCCCTGTCTTAGGTCAGTTAGGATCACCACTTTATTTTAAGAATGTGAAATGTCAGAATAATAGTAGAGCGAATGATTTACTTCAGCTTTTATTTCATTCATCACATTCCCAGTGGGTCAGAAGTTTACATACACTCAATTAGTATTTGGTAGCATTGCCTTTAAATTGTTTAACTTGGGTCAAACGTTTCGGGTAGCCTTCCACAAGCTTCCCACAATAAATTGGGTGAATTTTGGCCCATTCCTCCTGACAGAGCTGGTGTAACTGAGTCAGGTTTGTAGGCCTCCTTGCTTGCACATGCTTTTTCAGTTCTGCCCACAAATTTTCTATAGGCTTGAGGTCAGGGCTTTGTGATGGCCACTCCAATACCTTGACTTTGTTGTCCTTAAGCCATTTTGCCACAACTTGTGCTTGGGGTCATTGTCCATTTGGAAGACCCATTTGTGACCAAGCTTTAACTTCCTGACTGATGTCTTGAGATGTTGCTTCAATATATCCGCACAATTTTCCTTTCTCATGATGCCATCTATTTTGTGAAGTGCACCAGTCCCTCCTGCAGCAAAGCACCCCTACAGCATGATGCTGCCACCCCCGTGCTTCACGGTTGGGATGGTGTTCTTCGGCTTGCAAGCCACCCCCTTTTTCCTCCAAACATAACAATGGTCATTATGGACAAACAGTTCTATTTTTGTTTCATCAGACCAGAGGAAATTTCTCCAAAAAGTACGATCTTTGTCCCCATGTGCAGTTGCAAACCGTAGTCTGGCTTTTTTTATGGCGGTTTTGGAGCAGTGGCCTCTTCCTTGCTGAGCGGCCTTTCAGGTTATGTCGATATATGACTTGTTTTACTGTGGATATAGATACTTTTGTCACCGTTTCCTCCAGCATCTTCACAAGGTCCTTTGCTGTTGTTCTGGGATTGATCTGCACTGTTCGCACCGAAGTACGTTCATCTCTAGGAGACAGAAAGTGTCTCCTTCCTGAGTGGTATGATGGCTGCATGGTCTGATGGTGTTTATACTTGCGTACTATTGTTTGTACAGATGAACGTGGTACCTTCAGGCATTTTGAAATGTCTTCCTAGGATGAACCAGACTTGTGGAGGTCTACCATTTATAGTTCTTGGCTGATTTCTTTTGATTTTCCCATGATGTCAAGCAAAGAGGCACTGAGTTTGAAGGTAGGCCTTGAAATGCATCCACAGGTACACCTCCAATTGACTCAAATGATGTCAATTAGCCTATCAGAAGCTTCTAAAGCCATGACATCATTTTCTAGAATTTTCAAAGCTGTTTAAAAGGCACAGTCATTTTAGTGTATGTAAACTTCTGACCCAGTGGAATTGTGATACAGTGAATTATAAGTGAAATAATATTGTATTACTTGTGACATGCACAAAGTTGCCAAAACCATAGTTTGTTAACAAGAAATTTGTGGAGTGGTTGAAAAACGAGTTTTAATGACTCCAACCTAAGTGTATGTAAACTTCCGACTTCAACTGTACATGACATTGGTCACATTTGTCAGTTGGGATACTTTGCAAATCTATCAAACTTCACAACTTATTACCATTTATATCTACATGATTACTTTCCATGTTTTTGTATATCTTGTTGGTGTTAAGTATGTTTTCTGTAAAAATGTTTTGCAGACCATGGTAAATTGTGCCTCTATGCTGAACTAATAGCCTAATGATTAAAAAACATCCTTCAAAAGATATTATACCTAGAATGATATGATGAGGGGGATAAAGAAACAGACAGTCAGAGAGACTGGCAGAGGCACACAACCAGTAAGTTTAAAGGCCCAGTGCAGTCAAAAGCTTTATTATCCTGTGTTTTACATATATTTTATGTATATTTCCAAGTTGGAATAATACAGTGAAAATTATGATAATGCCCTTTAAGTGTAAGAGCTGTTTCAAAAGACCGCCTGAAATTTCTGTCTGTTTAGGTGGGATGGAGTTTTGCCCTGCCTGGTGACATCACCAGGCGATATAGACTACATGGCCAAAAGTATGTGGGCACCTGCTTGTCGAACATCTCATTCCAAAATCATGGGCATTAATATGGAGTTGGTCCCCCCTTTGCTGCTATAACAGCCGCCACACTTCTGTGAAGGCTTTCCACTAGATGTTGGAACATTTCTGCGGAGACTTGCTTCCATTCAGCCACAAGAGCATTAGTGAGGTCAGGCACAGATGTTGGGCGATTAGGCCTGACTCGCAGTTGGTGTTCCAATTCATCCCAAAGGTGTTCGATGGGGTTGAGGTCAGGGATCTGTGCAGGCCAGTCAAGTTCTTCCACACTGATCTCGACAAACCATTTCTGTATGGACCTCGCTTTGTGCACGGGGGCATTGTCATGCTGAACAGGAAAGGGCCTTCCCCAAACTGTTGCCACAAAGTTGGAAGCACAGAATCATCTAGAATGTAGCGTTAAGATTTCCCTTCACTGGAACTAAGGGGCCTAGCCCGAACCATGAAAAACAGCCCCATATCATTATTTCTCCTCCACCAAACTTTACTGTTGGCACTATGCATTGGGGCAGGAAGCATTCTCCTGTCATCCGCCAAACCCAGATGGTGAAGCATGATTCATCACTCCAGAGAACGTGTTTCCACTGCTCCAGAGTCCAATGGCGGCGAGCTTTACACCAATCCAGCCAACGCTAGGCATTGCGTATAGTGATCTTAGACTTGTGTGCGGCTGCTCGGCCATGGAAACCTATTCATTAAGCTCCCGATGAACAGTTATTGTGCTGACGTTGCTTCCAGAGTCAGTTTGGAACTCAGTAGTGAGTGGTGCAACTGAGGACAGACGGTTTTTACGCGCTATGCGCTTCAGCACTCAGTGTTCCCTTTCTGTGAGCTTGTGTGGCCTACCACTTTGCGGCTGAGCCATTGTTGATCCTAGACGTTTCCACTTCACAATAACAGCACTTACAGTTGACCGGGGCATCTCTAGCAGGGTAGAAATTTGACGAACTGACTTGTAGGAAAGGTGGCATCCTATGACGGTGTCACGTTGAAAGTCACTGAGCTCTTCAGTGTGGGCCATTCTACTGCCAATGTTTGTCTATGGAGATTGCATGGCTATGTGCTCGATTTCATACGGGTGTGGCTGAAATAGCTGCATCCACTCATTTGAAGGATGTCGACATACACTACATGGCCAAAAGTAAGTTAATAGTCTAGTCTAGCTGCAACCAAATGGCTGTGGTAGCCAGCTAGCTAGCTACTTGCTATTAGCCACCGTTAGCGTCTTCACCATTGTCCGTGGCATGCACTACCCACCAGCCAGCACTATCTCTAGCCTGGACAATTTGTTGGCCAGTCTGCACAGCGTGCTATCGACCCAGAGCATATCGGATTTTCTGCCGGAATCACTGGACATTAGCGCCGGATCATCGCAACTAGCTAGCTGCAACCGAATGGCTGTTGTCGTTGGCTAATTACCATTGCCCCTTAGCAAGCACCAGTTAGCCTTGAACTAGCCTCGAGCCAGGCCCATCTCCCGGCTATCTACCTCTCTGTCAACCGGACGGGACCTCCTAGTGTTGACACGGAGCCCCGCCGATCCAACACAACTGGTCTGCCGACGAAATCATCTGATGTGGTTTCAATAGGCTTCCCGTTACGATGTCGACCATGAAGATCCATCTGCTAGCCCCGGCCCGCTAGCACACACAAGCCGTGGCCTCTTGCTCGCCAGTGCTGTAGCAGCCCCCGAACTACCTCCGAACTCTCCTATTGCTGTTTACAGGACCTTATGATAACTCAGCTAAACAGCTGATGCCTGCTGGACTGTTCCTTTATACGGTACCGCATCCAGTTTATGTTTAGACTCAACCCAAACTTTGTCGCCATTACCAGCTGTTGTCTTAGCTCTCTCGAATAACACCTGTGATTGCTTTATGCCTCTCTCCCATGTCAATATGCCTTGCTTATTGCTGTTTTGGTTATTTCTTATTGTACTATTTCACTGTAGAGCCCCCAGCCCAGCTCAACTTGCCTTAGATAGCTTATTTGTCCCACACCCCATACACACGGAGACCGACTCAATCGGTGCCTCCAGTGATGCTCTCTCTTTCATCGTTACCCAACGCTTAGGTTTACCTCCACTGTACTCATATCCTTGTCTGTACATAATGCCCTGAATCTATTCTACAACGCCCGGAAATCTGACCCTTTTTTCTCTGTACCCAATGCACTAGAAGACCAGTTCTTAAAGCCTTTAGCCGTATCCTTATTCTACTCCTCTTCTGTTCCTCTGGTGATGTAGAGGTTAACCCAGGCCCTGTAGCCCCCAGTATCACTCCTACTCCCCAGGCGTTATCATTTGTTAACTTCTGTAACCGTAAAAGCCTTAGTTTCTTGCACGTTAACATCAGAAGCCTCCTCCCTAAGTTTGAGTTATTTGCTGCGTTAGCACACTCCGCCAACCCTGATGTTCTAGCAGTGTCTGAATCCTGGCTTAGGAAGGCCACCAAAAATTCAGAAATGTCCATCCCCAACTACAACATTTTCCATCTCGATAGAACTGCCAAAGGGGGTGGGGTTGCAATCTACTGTAGAGATAGCCTGCAAAGCTCTATCATACTATCCAGGTCTGTGCCCAAACAGATTGATCTTCTACTTCTAAAAATCCACCTTTCCAGAAATAAGTCTCTCACTGTTGCCGCTTGCTACAGACCCCCCTCAGCCCCAAGCTGTGCCCTGGACACCATATGTGAACTGATTGCCCCCCATCTATCCTCAGAGTTCGTACTGCTTGGTGACCTAAACTGGGATTTGCTTAACACCCCGGCCATGCCCTCAATCTC